GTATAGACCTGAATGTTTCCATTAGGATTTTTTTAAATCTTGCTCATTTGCATAAGCTTGCACAGTCACAATGCCAACAGTATCGCCCACTCTCACTGAAAATAATATATTAGTCGACTGTCAAATTGTTAAATGCAAATGGAACAATAGATATCTGAAAGCTGTATTGTTATGCAGTTGCGTAAACAAAAAATATTGTTAGGAGTATTTGGATCGCTTCTTCAAAACAAAACTGGTTAAGTGGAATCTGATATGCCATAGACCTACTACATGACCTCTATTGTTTCATGAACTGAAATGTGAAACGCATTGCCCTCGTCTGGTCTGCATGTGGCGAAGCGTCTGCAGTCCAGTGGAGACCCTTTAATCCATAACAAGCAGCCCACGGCTGTCAGGAGCCAGTGAAGAATGTCTTCCTCATCTCAACACAGGCAGACCGGAGCTTTCTGGATCATCATGTCCAGAGGCGACAGTGTTTTATCTAGCTTTAGCATATGATCTGCCTCCATAACACCCACATTAATAGCAAACACACTGGTATTTGAGGGGAGAAGAAAGATAGAGAGTTGTGTTAAACGAAAAAGGGATTTGAGAATGTAAAACAGGAGTAGAAGAGGGTGTGGAATAAGGGCTGTTGTGAAATCATACTGTCATCCCTCAGGCATGTCTTCTGAATTTTCCCTCCTATTTTTCATCCCTCTATTTTCTCCTCATATGATCTCTTGAGTCGTTCTAATGCTGCCTCTCCTCGACAGATTACCTCACAGTTCTGCCTTTTGCTAGATTTTCAGTGGCTTAAGCTCTCGTTTCGTGCCTCTTTCTCGCTTGTCGTCTTGTCCTCTTCTGCTCACGCTCTATACTGCCTGAGAGCAGAAACAGCAGGTTCTGAATGTGGCATAATGATGAAGTTGCAATAGGCTCTTGATATTCATTCCTTACAGCTTTCTGCATCTCTGGCTCTTTCAATTTCATTCCCTGTCTGTCTTTATTCGAGCAGTGACTTTGACGTTTCATTTGGCACATGGCAACCTGCCTCCAATTAGTGGTATCTTTACAGTGATGCTTTTGTATTGATTTGCACAGCCGTCCAGACAGCTGTCATGTCAGAGTCATTGATGCCTGAGAGGCTGAGTAATAAAAGCTGTTTGACAAAAGAAATTGCTTGAACTTAATGTTTAAAATTCACATAAAGTCATTACATAGAGAGCTTAAACATAGCTGCTGGCACTTTCCATGAATAGTATACAAAATTGGGCCTGAACATCATAAAAAAACAAGTTGGTGTTTCAGGTGTAAAAAGGTTATGTTATTTCTTATTTGTCACAGTTTTATGGTATTTTTTGTAATGGGGAAAATTATTACATAAGCATGTAGTATTTACAAAAAAAACGACATCATAAAAACAGTTTTTATTACAATGAACTGAAAATCAATTTAACAGATTATGCCAAAAGCTTGACATTTTGTATGATTAGGATATAAAGCTAAAATAATGGGACACCAAAGTGTACTGCATTCAAGGAAAGTGCTTGCGCTATTTTAAATGACAGAATGTGTTGTTCATAATACTAAGCAACATTTTAACTAGAAATGAAATGTTAGTGCACACATTCAGTTATCCTTGCATCCACTGCAAAAGAGGGTTTATTTCAGGATTGATTTCAGTGATGGTAATCCTTCATTTTGCTCTGAAAGTCACAGTGATGACCTTTCATCAGTGTGTTGGAGAATAGATCAGTATAATGATAGACTCTGCACTTAATTGGTCATAATGACCGCACTTATTATCCAAGAGTCTTCAACATATCATCGGAGGGTCTTAGGCCATTTTTAATGACCTACATTCACATTTTTATATGTTTGAAAAATGTCTCTTATGCTCACCAAAGGCAGTGTTTATTTGATCAAAAATACAGTGTGAAATATTATTATTAAAATTTAAAGTAGTGCTGTCAAACGATTAATCGTGATGAATTGCTGTTTTTGTTTACATTATATATGTGTGTGAACTGTGTATATTTATTATGTATATATAAATACACACACATACAGCATATATTTTGAAAATATTTATGTATATATTTATATTCATATAATTTATATCATATATAAATATATTTAATATATAAACGTAACATATTTGTCTTAAATATATACATGCATCTGTGTATATTTATCTATACATAATAAATATACACAGTACACACACATATATTATGTAAACAAAAACTTTTATTTTGGATGCGATTAGTCGTTTGACAGCACTAATTTAAAGTCACTCTTTTCTATTTAAAAATATGAAAACTTCATTTATTCCTGTGATGCCAAAGCTGAATTTTCAGCAGGCATTACTCAAGTCTCCAGTGTCACATGATCATTCAGAAATCATTCTGATATGCGCATTTGCTGCTCAAGAAACATTTCTTCTTATTATTTATTTTAAAAACAGTTATGATGCTTAATATTTATTCAGCGTTTATTTGAAATAGAATTGCTTTGTAATGTTATATTTGTTTAATGCATCCCTAATTAAAAGTATTAATTTCTTTATAAAAAATCTTACTGACCCCAAACTTTCGGAAGGATTTTTCACAGCACACACCTGCTGCCAGATTGATAATTAGATCATTTTAATTAGAAAAAATGCGAAAAAAGTGTAGAAATTGCTGCAGAAATGGAAAATTGTAGAGTTGCTCATCATTCTCTTTGTTGCATTGTGCTGCATTATTGTTATTGAAGGGGCGATTTAAATTTCAGATCAATTAAAAAGCTACATTAAGTAAATTAAGCATTAAGTAGATTGCTAAATCTCTGATTACACACAGCCTCATATATCCTTTCCTGCTTTCCAAGCAGTCAAAAGCTTCATATATTGCATAGGAAAAACAATAAAGTTATTACTTGGGTGACTCTAAGATCATATGCAACCAGTGATTCCTCAAATCAGAGAGTTATTTAAGCAATTTTGGCATTTGAGAGATTTTTATAAAAACCTAAGAACAGTGTAACAGAAGTTTTTTAAATTTAGCTACTTTTCAAATTGTTCGCTAAAGTCACGTGGCAGATACCATTTTGCTAAAAGATAGTTTTAATATTTCTGCTTAACATCCCTCCGTCGTTAATGAGAACATTTGGAAATGATCAAATGCAGAAGAGAGAATGTAAGTGGGTCAGATGCATTCAGGGTGAGATTGCTGAGAGAGTGAAAGGCTTTTTCCCTTAAAGAGCGTGGGATTCGGGATCCTGGCCAGTAATATCAGGAGAGTTGATATCCTTTTCTGGTTTAGCCATTTCCTTGTCTTTGCTGCTGTTTTATTTGCTAGGTCAGTGACAGGATCAGAGCGGGGCAGGAAATATATCATTCAGAATGAGCATAGCATGTCAAATCAGGATGGTTATTATTCCTCTCTCTTCCTCAAATGCCAGTTCAATAAGATATATGCATGTCCTGGTGTGAATTCGCGATGGCCATATTATGAATTAGTATTCTCGCCGTTTCTTTTCTCGCTTTCACTCTTTCTCTCTTCAAGCTGTGGTGGCACACTGAGCTTATTATGAGTCTGCTGCATGTGCAGCGGTTAAAGCAATGCATTTGTTCTCTCTTATTTAAAAAATCAGCTCCTCTTCCTGCCTTCATCTTCTGTTCCCCACTCTCATCTCTCGTAGGTTCTTAATCCATATTTGACAATAACAACTGACATCGTGATTAAATTAACTCTTAAATTCTATGCTGTTCGTATTTCCAGGGGCTGTTTTGAATCTGTAATGCATTTACAGAAAATGAATGCTTTCAATCAGGTCTCAATTTCCCTCAATGAGACGATATCTCTGAGTTTTAATAAAATGTTAAAGCTGGTATAATACATTACGCTGCATAGACTATTCTTTTATTATTATTACTATAAAATTTAGTTCCTCAACAGTTCCTTTGTGCTCTTCTCGTATAGGGCTGGATAATTTAGTTTGTTCCCGCCCTACATTTCTTCTTTAGGCACTAATGACTGTTACAATTACTGTAGCAATTTCAAGTACTTCCATTTGTAGAAATGTAGTACCACATTAGTATGGATGGGAATTCTAATAATTATAATACATTTTATACAACGTATTTTGTTGCCACAGGAAATGTCCACACTAAAAGGTCTTATGTCAGACAGCACAGGGTTTGGAAGAGTCCATTTAAATATGTGAGCAGAGCTGCTGTTTATATGTAGGGTCCAACACTAAGTTGATGCCGCACCTGCCAATGTCAGTGAATTAAGATAATTTAATGACCAATGGCCATAAATATTTTTGTCATAATAATATTTGTAAAAAAATAAACTAAAAAAAAAAAAAAATTTATTAAAATATTATCTGTATTATAATTTATTTATTAAAATAATTGTATATTTTATATAATTTTATATTATCTATTTATTTACAGTATTTCAGCAAAATTGCATGTTAAAAAAACATGAATGAGACATAATGTGATTCTATTTCTTGTATCTTAGAAATAGAATCTTAATTTAAGAACTTATGAAATCCAATATAGTCAAGCTCTCTCTCTCTCTATATATTTTTTTTTTTTTTTTTTTTTTTTTGAAAAAAAAAAAAAATGTATGTTAACAGTGTTTATGTCATATCAGTCCGTCAGAAAAAGTTTTTTTTTTTTTTTTTTTTTTTTTTTTTATGTATTCAAGGTAATTGATTTAAAAAGATGCAAACATAACAGAGTCTATTAGTTATTAAATTGATTGTACGTTTTTTTTATTTTTTTTTTATTTATTCTTTCATGTATTTTCAGGGCCAGATTATAATTTTTGCCACATTATGTTTCAGTTCCTAATGAAATTACCAGCAGATGTGTCCTAGTTTTATTAGTGAACTGCTAGGAATTTTAGAATTCTTAATATTTTCTCTCCTCCGGTTCTGATTTATAAAATTCAATGAAAAGTTAATTCCCCCACCTCCACACACATTCTTACTCTCTATCTGCTTCTTTTTCTCTTTCTCAGTCTGAAGTCAGTTCTTTCAAGCCCTCCCTCCAGTAGGACATTAGATCTGTCTGGCATCCCTCTTGGAGTGAAAGACATGGAGCGTCTCTGTGCCTACCTGCATCACCACGCGTCCCGCATCGGCAGCCTTGAGCTGGGCTTCACCGAGCTCACAGACGATGCCTTCCTTCTGCTCCTCCCTACGCTGGCGTCTCTTCCCCGCCTTGAGACGCTGGCCCTCAATGGCAACAGGCTGACCCGTGCTGTGCTCAAAGAGCTCACAGACACACTGAAAGACCCAGACAGCTTCCCCAGCGTCACCTGGATCGACCTGGGGAACAACGTGGACATCTTCTCCCTCCCACAACCATTTCTGGTGAGCCTGCGCAAGCGCTGCCCCAAACAGGGCAACCTTCCCACCATCCTTGAGTTCGGCGAGAGCCAGGCCAGCGAGCCGGAGGGCCGAGTGGATGAGGACGATGCAGATGATACAAACAGGACTGAGAGTATGGGAGAACTCAGATCTGAGGTAGAAGAAGAGATTGACGGTGAGATGGAGATCGAGGACATGGTGGAGAAGTTGCTGGACTTTGACAGGGAGGTGCAGGGCAAGGAGGACGAAGACGACAGTATGTGGACCTTGGAGGAGCAGCGGCTGGTAAAAGATCCAGTTGCAAAGCGGAGCAAAGAGAAAAGGCCGTCCAAAGCAGAGGGCGAAGAGGACTTACAAAGCCAGTCTTCCCATCTGTCCTGCTCCAGCCAGTCACAGCACTCTTCTGGAGCCATCGAGCCTTTAAGAGAAGATTCTGTCCCAGACCAGTTAGCGTGTCATTCGAACAACCCTACCTGATTGCAGCCACTGTCTTATTTGATTAGATGCTGGTCCCTTTAAGAAAAAGAGAAAGCGTGACAGGCTTGTTTTCAGACTGGGATATCCATGAAGTCATGGGATTCAAAAGGTTTTATAGGGTTGACACTCACAGTAGTTGTCTGTTGTTGCAAAGGAGAAATTAATCGCTTGTGAGGTTAAAAAAATATCAAATATAACTTCACATTCAGGTTTTCCCTTCACTGTCATGTACATTTATAGATCCAGTCGCAAAGCAAATAGCAGAGGGTGAAGAGGATGTCCAAAGCCAGTCATCCCATCTGTCTTGCTCCAGCCATTCACAGCATGCTTCTGGAACCATCGAGCCTTTAAGAGAAGCTTCTGCCCTAGACCAGTTAGCATGTCATTCAGACAACCCTACCTGATTGAAAACACTAAGAGTCTGTAACCTTCGTCCCTTTAAGAAAAAGAGAATGGTAGAGCGTGACAGGCTTGTTTTCAGACTGGGTTACCTATGAACTCATGGGATTCAGCAGGTTTAATAGGGATGACAATCATGGCTGCTGTCTGTTTTTGCAACGAAGAAATTAATCACTTGTGAGGTACGAAAATATCAAACATACCTTCTTATTCAGGTTTTCCCATTCACTGTCTTAAAAATGTAAAATATCCAGTCACAAAGTGGAGCAAAGAGAAGAAGGCATCCAAATCCAGTCTTCCCATCTGTCTTGCTCCAACCAGTCACAGCACTCCTCTGGAGCCATCGAGCCCTTAAGAGAAGACTTTGTCCCAAAACAGTTAGCATGTCATTCAGACAACGCTCCCTGATGGAAGCCACTGTCTAATTTAACTAGTGTCTGTAAACTTCATCCCTTTAAGAAAAAGAGAAAGTGTGACAGGCTTATTTTCAGACTGGAGTCATGGGATTCAGCAGTTTTTATAGGGTTGACAATCACAGTGGTTGTGTGCTGTTGCAAAACAGAAATGGATCACTTGTGAGGTACAAAAATATCAAATATACCTTCTCATTCAGGTTTTCCCCGTCACTGTCATAACCATGAACCTCTGTGTGCCTATGTGCCTGTTCAAAACCCTGCTGGAAGAAGCATGTGTGAGTGTAGGTGCACATTTAGATCAGTTAAACATGCTGGATATAAGCAGATTGGCTTGGCCGTCATGAATTGGTGTGTCCATCTATGCATCTGACCGTCGCAAGCATCATGTTCTCTCCAGCAGTGGAAAACAACCTAAATTCTATTCAGTATCGTCCAATGAATATGCATGTCCCGGGTGTCAGGTGGATGGGATGCAGATGAGATCATATAAAGTGCCCCTAATTTATACAGTGGAAAACCAAAATGTCTTGTCACACTGTTGGCCCAAAACAATATGCTTGTTTGATACAGAGCAGCGGGACTGAAGCCAAAGAGAAAAGACTCACTCCACGGACAAAAAGAACGTGTCGTTTGGCTATATGATAGTATACAATACTGTTATTCTGTTGTTGCTGCTTGACATGGATTTTGAAGACAATGTAAGGTTTCTCAGCTCAGTTCTTTAGAATAGATCCTTTAAACACAAAAATGATATAAAGGTTTAATTTCTTTTTATCCACTGTTATTAAATGATAAAGGTATTTCATAGTATAAACATCTATTTAGTGCCTAATTATATTACATTGTTCAAATGTAATTCAAACTAGTTCTGATATGCCAGTAAATTAAAGTATTGTTTCAATGACAGTGTATATTGATTAGACAGATTTGTCTTAATGGAAAATAGTTGTTTTAATTCATTATTTAAAATTACTTAATTGAGAATTAGGATTTATTATATCCATTTATACTGTACTACTTTGTATATTATCATAATATGCTTACATGCAAAAATCTTGTTCAGTGTTTTTTAAGTGGAATTATCTCCCTCCCCAAATGATGGTTTATACAATTAATTCATTAAGTCTAATTGCTCCTGTGATAAAGTTAACCAATATATTTCAGCTTATCATGTCATTTTATGGTCACCAGGTAGCCTCAAAATCTCCTGCTGTTTTTCAAAGCCATACTTCTTGACAAGTTCTGCCATTACAGAAAGGGAATTATATATTGATAAAAGTGCACTGAAGAGCTGTGATCAATGAATTTTGTCTGTATTTCTGTATTCCCACAATGGTTAATAAAGAAAGGAGAATGATAGGGATGACAAGGTACAGCAATATGTGTATATGATTATTTGTAAACAAAACAAAATGCATTTGACTGTTGCCATCAAAATCAATAAACCATTAACAAATATAAAATTCATTTATGCATTAAACAGTACATAAAATGTTAGACTGTTAGAACTGTGGTAAAAAACACGTACACGTTTTTATTGCGTTTGTGCACCGGAACATTGAACTGTAATTGAACGGGACTGGTGGATGGAGGACTGTAAACTATTAGTAATCGATGTCGACATCTAGTGGTTGGCAACTCGTGCTTGGACTCTTTGGGCTTGGGCTTGTTTTATGTAAACGACAGCGTTTACGTACTTCCGTTTTCTTCCGTGCAATTTACAACACAAACGACCTTTGAGTATTAGCAAATGAGGCTATAAATTGTTCGATAAGAAAATTAATTTATGAAAATATGGACCAACAAGGCCTATAAAAAATACAATTTATACTGCTGGAAAATATTTTTTAAACAACAACTCTTGTTGATGACAGCTGGTTTCCAGTTGGTCATTGGCTGGTCTAACATATAACGTTAAGTAGACCATTAGAACAGCAACAAACCATACTAGCCGGTCAAATCAAGCTGGATGGGAAAACATGGTAGCTCTGGACAGCCAGATGGTGACAAATTAGGACTAGTTAATGACCAGACCAGCTATAAACCACTGGGCTTTATTGTAGAGACTATCGTGATTTTGAGAAACACATTTTATTTAGCTTAATTTTCCGTTCAGATTTTAACAGAGCGGAAATTTATCTTTGACACTGGCCAGAAAAATACATACACATTATCAAACACAGATCCAACAAATTACTAAATATATGGATTAATAATAATATGAATACGAACATTGTTAATCATTTGGATGTAAAGACGTAATATATATATATATACACACACACACACACACACACTAGTAAATAAATGTAAATATATTACAAAGTTAAGTAAAACAAAACCAGATATGTTGACATAAAACCACAAATTATCTAGTAAAAGTAAATAAAATTGTAAAGTCTTTAAATGAGACAGAAGAATATTCTGCAGAATACGGGGCTATGGTCTCATTTTCAACATTGACCGCATCAATATGGCTACCTATAGGCGCCGTCTGAATTGACTGTGTTATTGCATCACTTCCGGGAAATAAGGTCAAAATTGTTTCCCTTGTCCGCCATTTGAAATATTTGAACTTCCTTGTGACAACTTCCAATGTACGTTTTGGTTTACACTGAACAATTATCAGAGGATCTGGGCGAATAGTCGTAGTTTTTGCGTCTCATGCACGTTGGGATTCCGACGTCGGCTGTTTTCTTACCCGATTGGAGCAAAAAAGCGCAGAAAAGTGAGCGAATGCTGCGCGGATTCGAAACGTGTTCAACAACGGAACGCGGTAAAGTTTTTGCATGAGTTGAACGCTGCTTGCGGATAAGGAGAGGCGAAGGGAAGGCCTGTGAAGCCTGGGCTTTTTTCTTGCGCTAGTCATGGCCGGAAATTTTGATTCGGAGGACCGAGGGAGCTGGTATTGGGGGAGATTAAGCCGGCAAGAGGCGGTTTCGCTGCTCCAAGGGCAGAGGCATGGAGTGTTCCTGGTGCGGGACTCGATCACTATTCCCGGGGACTACGTGCTGTCTGTGTCGGAGAACTCCAAAGTCTCTCATTACATAATAAACAGCATCAGCAGCAATCGCCAGTCCGGACCAGGTAAGCGGTGCATATAAATATACTGCCAACAACCGGACGAATAAATACTGCTTTAGCAAAACGTTTAGCAGCTCGACGAGAAACTTGTGTACTTCTATACTACGAATAGTTCTGCACATTCAGTCACATTTTTTGCGTCATTCTAGTATTACGTTGTAATTTAGTATTTTCTGTAAGATGTTTACACATACAGAGATGTTATTTTTCAGTATAAACCGTGTTTTTGATTCAGTCACTCAGATCATTTAGATATTTTAACGTGTAATGGGAACCATATGTATTTTTATGACAAAACACCCACTTTTTTGTTTGTAGACGCGGTATGCGCAGTAATGCTGAATTTATTAGCTATTATGTGTGGTATTTTAAAAAATAGTGTATTACACGACAGCAATTGTAATTATTATATCTACCATTTAGTGAAGTCTTCATAGATTAAGGTAAAGTAAATCATGATAGTCCATCCATCATCCTATGTGCTTGCCGCTGTCATCCTGCAGGACTCGCTCCTCCTCGGTTCCGTATTGGAGATCAGGAATTTGATGCCTTACCTGCGCTCTTGGAGTTCTATAAGATCCACTACCTGGATACCACCACTCTCATTGAGCCCATCAGCAAAGCCAAGCACTCGTCCTTTATCAGCATCAGTGCAGGAACAGGAGGAGCTCCTCAGAGGCTGGAAGAGGAGTACGTCCGAGCTCTCTTTGACTTCCCCGGCAATGACGACGAGGACCTTCCATTTCGAAAGGGCGATATTCTAAGAGTTCTGGAGAAGCCGGAGGAGCAGTGGTGGAATGCACAGAATTCAGAAGGCCGTGTCGGCATGATCCCAGTGCCCTACGTGGAGAAGTACCGGCCGGCCTCGCCAACATCAGGGGGCCCTGGAGGGTCTGTTGGAGGATCCGGAGCTCACGGCAACTCCGACGGCCACGGTTCTCAGTCTCAACCTCTGCTTGGCGAGCCGGGCCAATATGCCCAGCCGACATCCTTACCCAATCTACAGAATGGTCCGGTTTATGCCAGGGCGATTCAGAAGAGAGTTCCCAATGCCTATGACAAGACTGCTCTTGCTTTGGAGGTAACAAATGTAGCTTTTTTATTGCACAGTATTTTATGTGCAACACAGACACAGATGACTGATTTTGTACATTTAAAAATGTGTATTTTTATATAGAATTTTGTGAAATAAAACATGTTTTTTTGGCTTTGGCGCCTCCCAGTGGAACTGTAATTTTCTGTTTAAGTTTGCTGTTTTGTGCATTGCATTAACAAATTGTTTCCTCCATTTCTGACACTGTTGTTAGGTCGGCGACATGGTGAAGGTGACCAAGATCAATGTAAACGGTCAGTGGGAGGGTGAGTGCAAGGGAAAGCATGGCCATTTTCCCTTTACCCATGTCCGCTTGCTGGACCAGCACAATCCAGAGGACGAACTGAGCTGAGAGAGCAGACTGTCTTCCCTAGCAGCCCTTAGATGTACACTCCCTTACACACACATACACACACACTCCGGCTCCTCACACATCCTCACTACTGCCCTTTACCTGTCCGTCTCGTCATTACCTTGTGCCATTGTCTCTCATGCCAACGTTCACCGTACCTGCAACAATCCCCTTATTAGGTTTTATGCAATAATTGAAGATATTTACCAAGTAAACACTAAATTCCACATGCAACACCATACACTACAGAGAGAGGAGCATTAGTGTGTGGCTTCTTGTGAACTGAGAAAAGAGGAAGAAGCCTGCTTGGACTTAAAACATGAGCGGTTTGGTGTCTTAACAAGGAACTGTTCCTTTGCTTCTTTGAATGCGGTAGCATACACTACTTAGTGTCCTAGAACACAGCAGCTTTCACACTACAAATCATCTACTACATGAAAATATTCAGAAATGCAGATCAAACATGCTTTGAATAGTTTTTAGTCTTTTTCATTGGCTTGTCAGTCATTACTGGCTCAGTGCCGGTCAGTTGTGTCATGAAGCGGTTCTTACCGGGGCGGTACATTATATAAAAGATGGAGTAGCCGAACCCTCACCACATTTAGTTTTATTTATGCACATTTCTAATGTATACAGGATGGGCCATGCATCATTATTCACTACCGCTAACTTTGTTTTACTACATTTTCATTATATATTATCAGGAAATGCTACTTGCTCCTTTCACCATTATTGCTGTACTTGGAAGTATTACACTAAATGCAGATTTGTTGAATGTGTAACCCAAATTTCTAATGCTAGACTCAATACGTCAACATAAGATAGACTTAAATGATTTTGTTATTGTTGTTTTTAAATAAAAATCCAACATTGTGACTTTTCCACTTAAAATAACCAATGTGTTTTTGCCAAAACTTCCCTTGCCAAGGTAGAAAATACAATAAGTGGTTGTTGTAGCGACTCTCTACTACGACTCTCCAAAACTACTTTAATATTAGATCAAAAACAACCCAGCTGTCTTTAGGATCATATGAAGTGTCACACTAATGTGCAAAGCCTAACCTGATGCCTCAAATGTGTTTTGCTCAATTGATTTTGCACATGCAAGTAGCCTTGATCTATGATTGGTTTATCTGGCTATTGATTTTTGTTGTAAAACATCAGCCTCCATCATGCCTGTATTATCTATCTCAATGCAGAAATATAGTGCATTTTGTCCTTAAATGCCCAAGTAAGACGTTGCTTTCCTAATTGCCTGCCTTAATTGCAGATTGTTGTCAATGACCAAATCAGCAATGTCTTTAGCCTAATTAGTTAATAGCAACATGTGGGGAAAAGTGGAGTATATTTTGTTCAACCTTGCAGAAATGTTTCTTTTAACCAACTTCCATTACTAATGACTGTATTTGGAGAATAGAAATCGAATGTCTGTGGACAAATGTATAGATTATAACACTAATAGACAGGCTACCAGAACACTATCAAATGTTAATGTTTTTACCCTTTACCTTTATTTGTTGTTACTTTTAAAAAGAAAACTTTGTTTGGTAACAATGACAATCACCTGGAAACTGTTATGTCACATCTGTTATGTCACATCTAAATGTTAGAAAGCTATGTCGTGTATGTGTGTAGGTTAGCTGTATGTTGTCATGATGTGACAGCAAGCCGGCCATGTTATGTAATTGTCACTTAAGTCGTAATTATGAAGGACTTTGATGTTCATGATCTGTCTTATTAACTGTCTATGTTCAGTCAGAAATGACCTTGATGAAATTAGATCACTAAAATCAGTCACAAAGCAAACCTGGAGTCTTGTAAGTCTGAACTCTCACCTGTGTCCTGTGAGAATGATTTCACCTCAAAACGCACCACTTTCGTCTATGACTGAGTTGAAAGAGTAATCGAAGTCGTGTCTGTACATTTTAATTGTACCCAAAGTATTAGGTTTAGAACCTAAATATCAACACAGTAATTTTGTGAAATTAATCTTGTGTTATCCTTTATGTGCATCCAAGTCTGTCAGAACAGTGTTTTAAGTCACACAAAAAATCCTACGTTTTTGTTACAGTTTTATTCCTGTACATTAAATAAAGTTGACCCCTATAGTAATGCTACTCAAACATTTTACTTTGCTTCTGTCAGTATTTTCATGCCTTTTAATTTATTACTCTATTGTATTGAGAGCATCAACGTGATGGAAAGGATTTGTTTAATTTTCCTATTATAGTATAATTTTTCCTTTATATAATTTTCTTGTATAATATCCAGAGCCAATCTGGTTGCAAATTTGTCATTTTTATCAAAATGTGATATATATCATTACCATTTCACGATTATTGTTTGTTATTTGTGACCCTGGACCACAAAACCATCAGCCTCCATCATGCCTGTATTATCTATCTCAATGCAGAAATATAGTGCATTTTGTCCTTAAATGCCCAAGTAAGACGTTGCTTTCCTAATTGCCTGCCTTAATTGCAGATTGTTGTCAATGACCAAATCAGCATTGTCTTTAGCCTAATTAGTGAAATGTGGGGAAGAGTGGAGTACATTTTGTTCAACCTTGCAGAAACGTTTCTTTTAACCGACTTCCATTACTAATGACAGAGAATAGAAATCAAATGTCTGTGGACAAATGTATAAATTATAATGCTAATAGACAGGCTACCAAAACACTGTCAAATGTTAATGTTTTTACCTTTATTTGTTGTTACTTTTAAAAAGAAAACTTTGTTTGGTAACAATGACAATCACCTGGAAACTGTTATGTCACATCTGTTATGTCACATCTAAATGTTAGAAAGCTATGTCGTGTATGTGTGTAGGTTAGCTGTATGTTGTCATGATGTGACAGCAAGCCGGCCATGTTATGTAATTGTCACTTAAGTCGTAATTATGAAGGACTTTGATGTTCATGATCTGTCTTATTAACTGTCTATGTTCAGTCAGAAATGACCTTGATGAAATTAGATCACTAAAATCAGTCACAAAGCAAACCTGGAGTCTTGTAAGTCTGAACTCTCACCTGTGTCCTGTGAGAATGATTTCACCTCAAAACGCACCACTTTCGTCTATGACTGAGTTGAAAGAGTAATCGAAGTCGTGTCTGTACATTTTAATTGTACCCAAAGTATTAGGTTTAGAACCTAAATATCAACACAGTAATTTTGTGAAATGAATCTTGTGTTATCCTTTATGTGCATCCAAGTCTGTCAGAACAGTGTTTTAAGTCACACAAAAAATCCTACGTTTTTGTTACAGTTTTATTCCTGTACATTAAATAAAGTTGACCCCTATAGTAATGCTACTCAAACATTTTACTTTGCTTCTGTCAGTATTTTCATGCCTTTTAATTTATTACTCTATTGTATTGAGAGCATCAACGTGATGGAAAGGATTTGTTTAATTTTCCTATTATAGTATAATTTTTCCTTTATATAATTTTCTTGTATAATATCCAGAGCCAATCTGGTTGCAAATTTGTCATTTTTATCAAAATGTGATATATATCATTACCATTTCACGATTATTGTTTGTTATTTGTGACCCTGGACCACAAAACCAGTCTTAAGTCGCTGGGGTATATTTGTAGCCATAGCCAAAAAGAACATTGTATTGGTCAAAATTATTGATTTTTCTTTTATGCCAAAAATCAGGATACTAAGTAAAGATCATGTTCCATGAAGATATTTTGTAAATTTCCTACTGTAAATATATTCAAACTTAATTTTTGATTGGTAATATGCATTGCTAAGAACTTCATTTGGACAACTTTAAAGGCGATTTTCTCAATATTTAGGTTTTTTTTGCACCCTCAGATTCCAGATTTTCAAATAGTTGTATCTCGGCCAAATATTGTCCTCTCCTAACAAACCATACATCAATGGAAAGCTTATTTATTCGGCTTTCAGATGATGTATAATTGACCTGGTTTTGTGGTCCTGGGTCACATTTACACTGAAACAGCACACCATTTAATTTGTATGGTGTGTAATTGTTAGAAATACTTGTTTTAAAAAGTCTAGACCCAAATAAAATGCAATTTAAAATAACACCTTAAATGTTTCTTAATTTATAATTTTATTTGTAATATGTTCAATTGAAGCAATCAAGTGTAATCATTTACTATGTTTACTGTATGACTGACTGACTTCTGTGGAACAAAAGAAAAAAAATTAAGAAAAAAATATTTTCCATTGACTTTCTTGTATGGACAAAAAACAAGGACATTTCTCAGAATATCTTCTTGTGTGCTGATAAATGACGAGTAGCCTAAATGACAGAATTTACAAATTAAAGTTATTTCAGTTCAACGTTTTACTAAATTCAAAATAATTGTGTTCTAATGTGTTAATTGAAAAGGTATTGCATTTGGGCCTAGACTTTCTTCTTTAAACATATTTCTCACAGAATAGAACGAACGGCATGAGGGTAAGTAAATGATGACAGAATGTTCTTTTTGAATGAACTATCCCTTTAAATTCAAATGTTTCCAGTGATTTTTTTACAGAATATCGCTGCCAGTAATACACAATCTTTAGGTTACACAAAATGTGCAAAAGGCACATAGCATTCATTCTCTGTTCAAATAAAGAGGGTTTACAATCCAGTATTCGTACGGGAGAGAGGGTGTGGAGATGCTCTGTGTGAAAGTTCCCGGATGAAGGTGTAACGCCATCTTTACTCCACCATTCAAGCTGCAGCTGTTTCTCGCGTAGGGCCTGCCGGTGAACTCACACTCCTCCTTTACCCCCAATCTCACAAAACACGCTCGCCGCGCGCTGTCCAACATGGGTGACCGGGAGGATTTGGTGTACCAAGCCAAACTCGCCGAGCAGGCGGAGAGATATGATGGTAAGAAACATTGAGAGGTAACGGGAACGGTATTTTTACAAAGCGAGAGCTCATGCAGGCTAACTGACGGTCGGGTTAGCTGGCTTAATTCGCAGTTAAACCATGCGAACACCTTGTAAATTGCAAACCGATCTCCGTGTGCGTTTTAAAAACTTTGTT